ATATATATATAAATTGCACAAGCTGATTATAAGAAATTTTTCTCTAAACATTACAAATTTTTTTGTAAGCACTATAAAATTCTGAATTTAATATATATAATTTTAATTAATAAATTTTTATTTTCAAATCAAAATGTAAGATTTCACTCATAATTTATAATCAGTTATAGTTTAAATTATTGTTATTCTATTATTATTAAGAATTATTTGCTAGAATAATAGAGATACCATAATATTAATTGAATTAATTGATAAAGTTTCAAGTAACATTGCTCAATAACAATATAAAATTAGTACATATAATTTTAATACAAATATATAAATTTTCTCTTTTTTGCAGAAGCAGTAGTTCGATACAAAAAAGCGAATCATCACATTAATTTTATTTATTTAAAAAGTTGTATCCTACTAAATTAAAGAATACATTTTGTCTTCAGCATCATCATGGACGATGATATCGATGATAAAGATGATACAAAACGGTAAGACACGTGTAATATTCTTGTGCAATTTATTTAATGTTTGTCACAATAAACATTAAGTGTATAAATGTTTACCTTTCAGAAAATCGCGAAATCTCAGCGAAAAGAAACGCAGAGATCAATTTAATATGCTTGTAAACGAGCTTGGTAGTATGGTTAATGCCAATACGCGAAAAATGGATAAATCCACAGTGTTGAAGTCGACAATTCTATTTTTAAAGAATCATAATGGTAAGTGTTTGATTTCTTACATTACTATAGTATTTATTAAAATATCTTTATGAATAGTTTTAATTAAAATTATCACGAGTTAATAAATATAAGAAAATTAATAAATTAATAAACTAAATTATATTTTTGGATAAATTTTGTGTCTGTACTTGGATAAGCTTTAGAATATTATTTTTTATTTTCTAACATGCAATTGCTTGTTTTCAGAGATAGCAGTTAGGTCGAGAGTTCATGAGATTCAGGAAGATTGGAAACCATCGTTTCTTTCCAATGAAGAATTTACTCATCTTATATTAGAAGTAAAATTTGCTTACTATATCGTTCGATACTATAGTAAATTTTTCTTCAAAGGTATCTACTAATGTATAAAACTAATGTATAAAATAATGTATGTAGGCATTGGATGGATTTATAATGGTTTTCTCCTCAAACGGACATATTTATTACGTCTCTGAAAGTGTTACATCTCTGCTGGGATATCTTCCAAATGAATTGGAAAATACGACTATTTATGATATAACATATCAAGAGGATCAACCACATTTGTACAATATTTTATTGAATCCTGGAAGTACAGGACGAGATAGACGCAATATAAAAAAGGTATTTTTTATAATTATTGAGACAGAAGAGGTATGTTACTTTTATTAAATATAACTTTCTTAGTAGAAGATCAAATATCTTTCACGTGTCATATCAAAAGAGGCGGACTCGATTTTCGGGAAGATTGCATCTACGAACTTGTGCAGTTTATTGGATATTTTCGTAAGTAAAATATTTTAAATCTTCTCAGTTCGCAGAAAATTGTAAAGCAGTTTTAAATATAAAACTGTTTGATAACATTATTCTCTTCAAAATAATGTTATCAAACAGTTTTATATTTAAAATCGAATTTTGTCAAATAGAAATCTGTAATTACAGGTGCTGCTATGGATAGCGATGTTGACAATCTGTTGTCAAATCAGAAACTTAGTAATATCAATGGATCAGAAAACAAGTATTAATCTTGGCTATATACAAATACAAAATCGCATTGCAATGTGATTGCATTGATTTGCGTTTAATTTTACAGATTGGTCTTCGTCGGTACAGGACGTTTACAAACTCCTCAACTTATCCGAGAATTATCCGTGACGGACAACACGAAATCAGAATTCACATCTCGTCACAGTCTCGAATGGAAATTCCTGTTCCTAGATCACAGAGCTCCGCCCATTATTGGATATCTGCCTTTTGAAGTTTTAGGCACTTCTGGCTATGATTATTATCATGTGGACGATTTGGACAACGTGGTCACGTGCCATGAGTCATGTAAATATTTTTACTGAAATACGCTCGATCGTACGAGCTTATTTCAATTGCTTGTCACTTTTTAGTAATGCAGAAAGGTGAAGGAACGTCCTGCTACTATAGATTCCTCACGAAAGGCCAGCAATGGATTTGGCTGCAGACCAGATTCTACATCACGTATAATCAGTGGAACTCAAAGCCCGAATTCATCGTGTGCACGCATTATGTGATCAGTTATATCGATGTAATGAAAGAAATGCGCGCGGAGTCGAGGGACTACGACAAAACGCAAAATCAGGACGTTTTACTACCTGTAAAACAAGTAAGATAAGATAGACAACACGCGATTATAGCATTTCATAAACAATTGCAACATTCTACGTGACGTCACGTTAATAATTATTTAACGTAGTAAAAATATAAATTGTACGAAGAAATAAAATTTTGAAGAAAAAGAAAAATGGATAGAAGAGAAAAGGAGAGAATTTTTTTTTAAATATTTTTTTAAATATAACATATTACATTATGCTATAATTTGAACTCAATTCCGAAAGCATTGGATTCATATTTGTCTCATTTGCGTAGGTAATGACGTCTTGTCAAACACCTTTAACGCAATGGTCAAACAAATCGTTAAAAACATCGAAGTCAACGGTCCCTTCGAATCTCCGACATCGTGGTGACGATTCCAATACGTCTTCCATATCTGTCTCGTTACGAAGTTCACCACAATCACAAATAACACATGGATCAAACGCGACTTCCGCAAGCAGTTCCATGGTGTCAAAGTCGATAGATAATAGGCAACAGCAACAACAGCAACAACCACAGCAGCAATCGCAACAACATCAGCTCGATGTCAATCAGCCATGTATTAATTTTATGAGTCCCGCGCAATATGCAACAGTTAATTTACAATCGGGATTTCCTACCCCTGTTGCTCCAATTCTTTCAACCGTACCCACTCACGAGGTAAAGAAATAAATAATTTATGGCATTGATGTCAATTGCATATATATATAACTTCATGAAACGTACGATTTTTTTATTCTGTGCTTATGTGTTTTTTACATTACAATATGATTTTTGTTACACACTTTAATTAATTATAAAATAAAAAATATTATTAATTTACATAATCTATGTGTTTCTTTTAAATTTAATTTTAATAAAATTTATAAATTATACAAATTTAACAAAATTACTCCATACTTACCATAATATAATTTTTTAACATTATTTTTGCAAATAGTTTAATTGTGTTTTTGATTAATTTAAGAAAATTCTATTTGATTAATTTAAGAAAATTCTATTTTGTAGTATTCTTGATATTTTCAGATGTTACAGCAGGATATAGTAATGACTACTGCACAGAATCAGATACAGGATGAATTACAACGAAAGCGTGAGGAAATACAACAAATGATTGTTCATAAGCAAGAGGAATTAAGAAGAGTTTCAGAACAATTATTCATTGCTCGATATGGGATTCTCACGCCGTTATTAAATGTTTGTATATCTTTTGAATGAGAAATCTTATAACAATGTTTAATTTTCAGATAATTAATAGTTTTTGCTTGCAATATACATCTACCTAGTCAGTTTTATATTTTTTATATTTTTATCAAATACTTAAATTTATTTAAATTGCTATTAAATTTAATTACTATTAAAAAGGCGTGAAACAATTTGTTAATTAATATTTTTATTTTAGGCTGGAATCCCATATAATCCATCGAACCCGTGCCAACAAACAAACCAGTGTAACACTAATAATACTAATATGCAGCTGTCCACATCCAGTAGCATACAAGGAGTTAATGTTCTTTCGATACCAATTACCGTGTCAATGCCTGTAGTGCCTACGGAATTATTTTCGCATTCTTTGCAAGTGAATTCGTCGCCAGGCTCGACGCATAGTAATGTAGGCGCTATAATTCAAACCCAACAACAACATTCGCAATTACAACATCAACAACAACAGCAACAACAACAACAGGGGCCATCGCAGCAGGAAGGTAGCAATTCCGATCTCGTGCCTTTCCAAATCTGTCCGCAACAGGCCGAGATAATCTACAGTAACATGGAGGCATCCTTGAATCAACAGCAAAGATCTTCGCAAAATTAAAAAAAAATTCCGTCTCTTTTTATTATTTCTCTTGTATCTAATTAATGAATAGAAAGTGTACATTTTAGAATTTTTCAAAATTCCTTTTCCATTTTATTTATTTATCGCTATGAAGAGTCTGACAGACATCTATTTTTGTACTTGTAAATGCTTGCATCACAATTTTATTTTTTCTTTACTTCTCTTTAAAAAAATTGGACCTTTTGTAAAAATTGCGTTGTATATTACGAGTATGTAAAAATATTTTAAGGAGTTGCGATAAAAAAATACATTTATGTGATAGTGACAGATGTTGTCACTATACTAAAATGTAACAGAATTTTGTAAAAATATATTTGGCGAAAGTATAAAAATATTTTAAGAAGTTATGATAAAGACATATATTTATATAATAGTGGTAAATATTGCTACTACATTAAATTGTAACAGAACTTTAATAGTATTTTAATAGTGTGTAATTTTAAATACATCGATTACACATGTCTGCAAAATTTTATTTGTTTTCTATAGTCTAGGAAAGAAGAATTCTTATAGTTTTTTATGTGCAAAATTCAAATCCGCAAGGAAAAATGTTCTATATGTCAAGTACGAGGAAAATGGGATTGAAAACATATCTTAAAAAGATATGTTTTAGGATAGCTTTAAAACTTTGTAGCCAATAAAACCAATATTCTAGACTTTGAGTAATGATAAAATTAATGTTTCATAAGAACACTTTTTTAGTGCATAAAAAATTACAAGAAACTATCTTTAATTCCTAAGCAAAATTATACAGACCTGTATTATTTATTATTCCATAATTATGTTTGCTTGTAATTGTATTTATATTTTTTAATTTAATTTAATATTTTTACAACCATCTTTAATTATAAAGATTTTTATATAAAAGACAAAGTTTCAATTATATTTTTAAGAAATTTTTAAACTTCGAAGCAATATAAAACAAAATATTTCGTCACGCAATATGTACTGCATAAAATTAAAATTTATACAAATTAATCACACGAATTGTAAAATAGTTTTTGAAATGGATAAATTTTGATAAAAAATAATTTTTATTCGTAACATAACTTTTACGTAATTTTGATAATTCTTTTATTTTATATTTTTGTAATAAAGAAAGATATTCTCAAATTAGAAAATTATTTTGAAAAGATGAAGTGATCAAATATTTAAGAGTTACTGCGTTATTATATGTGTATTTTATAAAATTAGAAATAATGGGAATGTATTATAATGTATTGAGAGAATATACATGCATTTATTAAATAGAAAAGGGTGTATTGCTAAGAAAATATTTAATATAAAATTTTTATGTAAATTTTGGTATATATCTCTTGAGAATAATTTGATCATTTGATGATATAAAACATAAAGCGGTTTTATAGTAACAAGTAAATGAGCTATGATCAAAAGACACATCACGTTTATATATATTTATTGGATTTATTCTTTTTAATAAGTAAAACGAAGGAGGGACCAATCTCCACATTTTCTGTATATTCCATTTGTATGATGTTAAAAAGTAATTATATAAAAAGTAATATATTTTGTGGTATGTATATGTATAATGTTATTATTTTCATACATATATCGGATGTATTATATATACGGTGTATGGCGTGTGCGTCGTGTGTGTGTGTGTGTGTGTGTGTGTGTGTGTGTGTGTGTGTGTGTGTGTGTGTGTGTGTGTGTGTGTGTGTGTGATGTATGTATGATTATATGAAATGTTCGATAAATAATAACATATTTCTCGCATGCATGTTGAACTGAATTAAAAAGTTTTCTATTTTTAGTCCCGCATTAGTAAAAAGTTATTAATTAATAAAAATAAAAATTATTGAACGCATATCCGCTCGATTCAGTAAGTGAGATATAATTATTTAATGTTACATGTACGGTTATTAAGAACATGATAAGATATTTGGAGATATGCACTAGCGGATGCTTTATCATTTGTAGAATTCGATAGTGAACGTGGACACCCATTAGAGGTTTTTTGTAGATTATTATTTATTATTATAATTGTTCCCTTCCCTTTCTTTTTCTTCCTTTCTTCTCTTTTATTTGTAAACGTAATTAATAAAAGAATCAGCAAAGCTTGATAAATGGATTTACTTGTTAGAAGCACAAAATATTTGGAAATGTGATCTATAAATGATCATCCGCTTATAATATGTATCTCTAAGTATTTCATTGTGCTTATAGTAACACAAATGTAAAACATTGCGCAGTCATCTCACTTATTTTATGGATAGATATGAGAGAAATATACCACTACTTATTATAGCTATATTACGTAATAATCAATATCTTAATATACTATCTTATTATAGATAGATCTTATGTATTATCTTACTACTTAATTTTATGTCGACATAATGTCTAAATATTTTAGTTTAGATCTTCTCTGATAGGCTTTACATATATACGCACGTGTGCATGCCATACACGCATGCGCGCGCGCGCGCGCGCACACACACATATACAAGAATAAAAACAAAAAATATGAAGGATCGCATTGTTATTATTACAGTATTTGCATATATGTAGGATATTATAGGATTTTTTTGTTTGCAGCAACGATCATCTGTTGCAAGTACTGGAAGTCAACAAACATCGGGTGCATATGCAGATGGAGTACGTATGGAAGAGATAGTGGAAGGTTCAGTAGGTGCTCTTCATATCCTGGCAAGAGAGTCTCATAATAGGGCGATAATTCGATCACAAAATGTTATCCCAATTTTCGTACAAGTACGTGCTATTTCTTGAAAGATCCTAAAATATTTTTCTTTAATTTTTTATATTATCTCAATCTAAAATGATAATTTAATACAGTATCTTATGTTTATCGTAACTTTAATAGAACCTTTTTATTTAATAACGCAATTCTTTTTTTTCACGATTTGCAGCTACTATTCAATGAGATTGAAAATATTCAACGCGTCGCAGCCGGTGTACTTTGCGAATTGGCGGCTGACAAAGAAGGCGCTGAGATAATAGAACAAGAGGGTGCTACCGCTCCATTGACAGAATTACTTCACTCCAGGAACGAAGGCGTTGCCACTTATGCAGCGGCAGTGCTATTCCGTATGAGCGAGGATAAACCTCAAGAGTACAAAAAACGACTTTCCATGGAGCTGACAAATTCCTTATTCCGTGAAGACACGAATTTGTGGAATAATGCTGACTTTAGCATGGCTCCGGATCTTCAGGTATCGTAGAAAACAAATACACTAATGCACGTTATTTTATTTCGTGCCGTGGCGAAATAGATTTACTTGCAAACACTATGTAACAGAGCAAGTTGTAATTTTATGTACTAGTTTTATGTACTAGTTTTGCCTTTTTATGGTTGACTTTTTCAAGTATTTGCCAGGAGTCAGGTTTGTAATGTAAGATAAATGGAGACGTAGTATAGAAATTTGTTTAATATTTTTAGGTAGTTACATTGTGTTCGGTAAATTATGCCACGTTATGATAATAGTTATTATTTTTATAGAGACTCTTCCCTTTTTCTAGTTATAAGACCAGGTATTTATATGATATAAGGTTTTCCCCATGTAAAATTAATTCCGAGCACAACTGTTTGTAAATCACGTACAACATTATAATTATCTATTATTTCAATTTGCATTACTAAGTCATCTGCAGTATTTACTCTCGTGTCAAAGTGTTTAGTTATTATGCTTTAAAATTTTGCCGTTATATTTGCGGAGATGGCGGGTATATAATATGACTAAATTCAATCTAGACAATTTACGTTGTTTAACAACGTATAATTTATAAATGAATAGTTTTGAAATGTTTGCTTTTCTCACACAAAAATGCATTTTAATACGTAATTACATTAATTTATAAACTAAATTTTGAACTTCATATGCTTAAGCTTTATAACATATAGTTTATTATGCTCGAAATTTAATTATACTTCCATGACATATGTTTACATCGATATTTATTCGAATATTGAATATTGAAGAAATCATAAGATGCAGTTCGATATGATTTTAATCTAGTTGATAGTTTGCAAGATTATAATGTGCATGGGAATGCGGTTTGTTCCTTCTGCAGATATTTATTTCAAAACATTTTTTTTAATTTTATTATTATTCGTGCAAATCTCCATGTTAGCCGTTTTTATTATCATATGAAACTTACCAAGTATAGCGCGAATCTTGCTGTATTTCGAGGTGTTGCGACACGCCTCTCTTAGAAGATATGCTTTGTGTTGACCTCAGCTACCTAATCTTCAGGATATGCTTGGCCCTGATCAAGGCTATGATGGTATGTATGGCCAAGGACCTCCTAGCGTACACAGCAGCCATGGCGGTCGGGGTTATCAACCGCAAGGTAATTTAAAAGCTGTTTAGCTATCTTATTCATCGAATGCTGCTTCTGAACAATCGATTTGTTACTCGAGGGTAGACGGTGCTATAAATCATAAAAAACGAATTTTACTCTGTATAAAATGTGTTTTTGTATGTAATCGTGATAAATTGCATATGGCGTATAATGACTATGATATATAGGATGATGGGATGATTGTATACGCGATAATGCAACCTCACGAAACCAATTTTGTCTTTTGCATTGTAAATATGAGGGAATTTAATAAATTTACTATTTTCTTCGACGTACCTAATATGAAATAATGTATTTGTATTGTATGTTATTTTAACAGCAGCTTAACCCATGGACTTAAATTAAAATACAGGCTATCAACAGTTTCTCGCAGTAACATAGGTGACATTTGGTCTTTATGTATTGTTGGTCCTGTTTTTGTTATTTGTTTGATTTTATTGATTGTCAGTCTGCATGTCTGATGTTACATGAAATTTCAAGATTTATGGAACATGCTTAATATTATTGATTTTCTATAAAAACGTCTAATTTTATTTTCGCAACAGTAAATATAAGAGAACTCTTGTAACAATACGTCTATATTAAATTTGAAAGTAGTACGCAGCTGTTGTTATAATTTCTTTTTTAAGTGCATTTTTTTTTATCAATTTTATAATGATGCGATTTAATAAAAAATATTTTAAAGATATAAAAGATTCAATTTAGAAGGATATAGCAATTGTATAATATTTAACTTTTTTAACGTAATATCTTAAATTATTTTAATTGTAATTATAAATGGATTATGTTTTATATATATATTTATTATATATGGAAAAAGTGTAATTTTTTAAGTTATTTCACCTACGCATGTTTTGCATGCAAATAGTTTATTATTATTTATTTTCACTATGACATGTGCTTTATGGTGAAGGAGTCGTATGGGAGGATGATATTTGTAAGTAATTAAAAATTGTCTTGCAGTTTATTCCCCAAAAAGAAATTTAATGCTATTTTATTGTAAACATTTATCATCAATTTTTTGAAAACTAATATTTATAAAAAAAATATATATATATATATTTGACACTATTACTATTTGTTTTATCACATGTGGAATATCGAGTCCGATATTATATGATATTCAGTATATATGCTGTCTTATTTTGTCTTTAATTGAAACTAAAAATTCATGCTTTTTTAATTTATATATATATTTGTTCTGTATACATATATGTATGTATGTGATTAATTTTAATATTATTAGAAAGCAACTTTTCGCCATTAAATAATTTTCGTTATGCAACTTTTGGCAAAAATTTCTCATAAAAATTAATAAACTTCATAATCAAATATAGTATGCAATAAGAATGATATATATCAATATCGTAATTATGAAATAATCATATAAATTGGTTAAACGATGATTATTAGAAGAAAATGTAATTATTTTGACGACATATAGCACAAATTTTATACATATTTCATAATACTAAACGACTGCCAAAGTACTTCGCAAATTATGCTTTATTAGTTAATAAAATTCTTGCACTTTGCGTGCAACATGTAATTTTTATCGGTGTAATCGTCACTTAATCGTCACATAATCGTCGCTTGAGAGCGATTGAATTCTTGTAAATGAAAATATATTTGTTTGCAACAGGTTATGACCAGATACCAGTAGACTCGATGCAAGGATTAGAGATAGGTGGTGGATCGACATATGGTGCAATGGACACTATGGACATGGCGCACGAAGGTGACTTGAGTTTCGATCACTTGGAAGAGCTCCCTGCACCGCCTCAAGATAACAACCAGGTCGCAGCCTGGTATGACACCGATCTCTGAATCCGTGCCATTATCGATCTCACGAGACAACAAGGGAAAAAGCAGCATTATTTTAAAGTACTAAACGAATTTTCATAGTAGAGTTTCGATTATCCGAGCGCTACAGTTGAATGTCTGTATTCTGGATTCGTCGAAACCAAACCACTTGTCTCGATCTTTCCCCATAATCCTCATTTTTATTTTAGTGATAAAGTGTGCAAAATAAAAACATTTTATTAGCTTTTTTATTTTTTCTTTGTTTCTGTTTTAATTATTTTCTCGTATTTATTGACATTCAAGTCGATTATCGTTCGGCTAAGAAGTGGATGACGTGCCAAGTGATCACGCAGTGCTTGGTATCTCAATTCATAGTACGGACGTTTGACTGTATTCGAATAATGTATCTTAAGATATACGAAGATGTATCTTAATAATTAATTAAATAATGCTCGGGAAGTCGAATTCTACCGCATTTATAAGACTCATCTTTGAAGTATTACCGATTAGAGGCTATCGTGCCCGATCGTGTTTCGGTCCGCAAGAAGTCGTTTTCGAATATAAAGGATCGGTTAGTCGCACTATAGTTGACATCTTCCTATAGTCCACGTTTGTTTCGTCAAACAGAAAGTGAAACATTCGTTAATCCATATCGACCCAAAAAAATGTATCGCCTGTATGTAATCGCCTAATATGATCATTCACCCGAGCATATATACATTATATCGATGTATTAGAATTAAGGAAGATACATGTAATTCGTACACACACGTATATGTATCGTTTAATTGTCTATACAAATAAACTGAACAATTAAACGACCAATGTTTTTTTTTTTCATTTTTGTTAAAATATCAAAAGTTGCACGATAATGGAGATCAATGACATAATTATGCGATTTGTATATTGATTATATTATGATCTAAAAATTACAATTTTAAAAATCATTTTTTCTCGATTGAATTCGATTGAGATAATAAATATTATGTAACTTTAGATAACAAAATATGTTACAAATTCTAAACAAATTTTAAACTACATATTTTAAGTACAAGGAATATCTATCTATTTTCCGAAGCTTTGAAGTTATTTGCAGAATGAATATTAACTTTCACAAATGACGAAATGTAAGAGTATTGCCTATTAACCGTAAGAGAACATTAAGGATTGTCCACTTTGATATTAATATGCTATAGGAAAATAATTTCAGCGAGACTTTCACTCGCCAAGCTCGGCAAGTGAGAGCGTTCGCTGTCTTGAGGTAAGACGTCACGCGGCGTCGACACGTACAATTTGTCGCGGAATCGTCTTCGTTTTCTTCTCTCCTCTTCTGGTCGGAGAAGGGTGCCACATACGGCATCGTCGGGTCATCAATCGCTGGTCGACTCCCGCGCGGCATATTCACGATGCGCTTGGAAGACTCGCATATCTCGCGTTAACGGTTGTTTCTTAACGCGACACGGGGAAAGGAGGCTTGTCCCTCAAGGAGGGCCATGTTTCTTCGAGTACGGAAGGCGCGTTAAGAATCAGTCTGTTTATCGAGGCGGCCACTTCCGGACAGCTGTCATTGAGGGTAGTCCTGTTACTTAAACGAAGGCGGCTTTTTGTATGATGAGAGAGACCGATCGACGTGAATTTCTTTGAGTGATAGAATCCTCTAAAAAATGAATCTTTTGGTACGATTGGCGCGCTAAGGTCGAAGGTGGTTTTACTGGGATTTGGAGATTAAGCCTCCGTTTCGCATACAGGTACGTCTGAAAATAGAAGTATATTTGTTATCGTGATGTCTTTTATGTTTCTTTTAGCTTCTTTTAACTCGTCTTTCCACATTCTTTGTCGTCTCGGTATATTTTTGTAACTTAAAATATCTAAATAACTTAAAAGATCTAGGCCCGCGCGCAATAAAATTCTGCCTAAAATCTTCACAAAATTTTATAATGCGCGTTAAAGTTATTTGTAATTAATGCAAATTATCAATTATATAGCGAATAATTTTTATACCATATTAAACTATATACTTTTCAAATATTTTTTGAGCGCAAAAAGATTAATTGCAATTTGTATATTATTAATTATATAATTGATATATTATTAATTATATATGTAATTTAATAATACATTATAATGTTATAATTACTCATTATATAATAGATTAGTATATATCGTAGTCAAAATCTATAGTAGTAGCTTTTACAATTGATTATTTAGCATTAAGATATAGTAAAAATTACTGTAGACGAAAAGCCTATAGAAAAATTATTTTATATATCTCATACCTTATATCGGTAATTCATTGATGAATCTTATAAATTATCTAAATTTTTCGGAATATGCATTATTCGAAGAATAAAATTCCGTAACGGTAAAGTGTAATTTTCACGGTTGAATTCCTATTTAAGTAAGGCTTATCGTGATGTCTATTTCCGAGTATATAGTATTTCCTGGATTTACGTTTCATTATTAGAGACGCACGGATTATCGTTGCTTTCGTAATAAAGTCAGAGTAATCGGTGAATATATTTGAACATGAAATCGAAACGTTAATGATATAAAAACGTTAAATGTCAGAACGCTTAAAATAATATCGCTATTGTAAATTTTACACTTAATAAAAGTCACATAAAGATGTTAGGTCATACACGAGTGCTTTCGATATTTACATTAAGAAAACTTCTATACTCTTCCTTTTAAATAGAATATAATATTTAGAATAAAATTATTTCTCAAATTTTACATCTCCATTCCCAATTCTTATATTGACCTCATTTCAATAAGTTGATAACTCACGTTAGATGATTTATAATTCGCATTAGATTTTAAATTAAAATTATATTTTTAATTTTTTTGTTATGCTAGACATTACAAATGCGCGCTGCACGCACGCCGTTTATCTTTTTCACAAGAGCAAAAATTAATATAATACTATTATACTATTGTTATACTATAATATTTTTAATTTCTTGATACACAATTGTTAAAACGATCCTCGCTGTGAGATCAATACAATGACAGCTATTCACAAAGTTAGCGCAGCGAGAGAACCAATCAACATCGCGGAAAAACATCAACAATAATCTTTGAGAAAATTTCGACAGATGCAAGTATCGATGGCACCTCTTTTAGGATGTATATATTTATATCATATGCATATATAACATATAATGATTTTTCAAATGTTTTTAAATGTTTGTTTCTCAGCGCATAAAATATAAACAAAATTCTATTTTAATATTTTATATTTTAGCATAAGTTACGGAACATCTAAACAGAACTTTACTACTTCTATTTAATAATAATCCATTAAAGTAATAATATCCAATAATATACAATAAAAATAATTTGTTTGATTTTGAAGAAAAGAGAATATTTAGTTCCATTTTTTAACCTAATTTTACACTTTACCACCAATCTATAGAATTTACGATGGAAAATATACATATTAATTGCATCGATTCCAAAACCTGTCTCGTTACCCTTGAAATATAATAACTTGCACTAATAAAGCGCCGATGTAGTGTATCAAAAAATATCTTTACGCTAAACAACACTCATACCTTTCCCCCTTACTAAGCAGAACAGTTATGTATACAACAGAGTTGGGAAGTAACTCGTTACTTGTAACGTACTTGTAACGAAGTTACAGTTAGAGTTATTTTTTTTAATAACTATAATTTAACTTCGTTTCTTTTTTCCATTTATAATTGTAACTTAATTACATTTAACTTAACTTAATTACATTTTTTTTAGTAACTAATAACTAATTTAATAGTTACTTTTATCGTTACTTTATGTATTTCAAATTTATTTGTCATTTAGCGCTATTGTGTCATTCTATCCTTGTTCTATATTTAATGATAAAATGACACAATGGCTACGTTCAACAGAGAAAGCAGTTTTGCAACTGTTGTAAAAATCTTTGATATGATGGATTTTCATTAGTTTCTCCCTTAATTTCACATGGATCTAAATGTATAAATGTATAATCACATTTAAGAATCTTACACAGTTGCAAAGCTGTTTGAGTTGAACACAGCCAATAGCACTCACAGTTTCTCACACTTTTAGGCTACATTTGAGTATCCCATGTATCATTTTATCTTTGTTTTTTATCGAACGTTAAACAAGAATAAAATGATGCGTAGGAGCTTGGATAACGTTTCCGAACTTAGTCTTAATGTGATTGGTTAGATGTAAAATAAGAACCAATCAAATTCGATTGCTATAATAAATTTAAAATTTTAGTTTAAAGTCTCGCTTAATGTCATTGCAAGCAGTCCTTAGAAATATATTACAAGAAATATAAGATTAGAAATATAAGATTTTTATATTTACTAGAACATAACATTTTTATATTTACTAGAACATAACAGAACATAACAGGCCACTAAACTTTTCATATTATATATTTTTATATTATTCGTTGATGGTAGCAACGTACCGTCGTGATGAAAAATAGAAACTCATTCATTCTTGTTTCATTTTATTCTTGTCCTTGTTCAAAACCGATTCAAAGTTTCATTCGCTACTAACCTCGCCCGTCTTTTACAAATTGTCATTTGCAAATTAACAGTAATTCACGAAATTAGCGCAGCGAAAGAATTAATCAGCATCGCGGAAAAGCGGTAATAATAAACTTCGAGAAATGCGAGTAATCGACTTAACATCTTTTTTATAAAGGAACAACAATAACAATGCACAAAACATTACAGGAAGTAAACAGAGAAGTAACTAAAAAGTAACGAGTTCGTTACTTTTTGAGTAACTACAACTGTAATATATTATTTTTTAAAATCGATAATGATTGTAACGGTAACTAGTTATTTTTTTAAAGGAAAGAACTATAATTGTAATTAATTACTTTTACAAGGTAACTTTCCAAACCCTGGTATACAGTTACTTGGTTAGAGTATTTATATTTGTTTACAAGTTATTTTCATATTAAAATATAGATTGATTATATTAAAATAGATAAAATATATCATTAGATTTTCTCATTGAAAATAAAAGTGTTTATTAAATACTTTATTATTAAATTTTATTATTTTATTATTATTAAATTTAAATTATTTATAACAATATTTAATAAATTAATTTTACATATACATTTTATCTAAAAAATAAACAATTTGTCGAAATATTCGGCGTGTCGAAAAGTAAGAAAAAATTCGGCAGCTAGATATCTTCTAGGTGCAATAATATTCACAGAATTAACTTTATTTGTAGTCCCATTAGGAAATCTAAAACAGTCTTGCTTAAATACTCATATTTGCACGTGTGTGCCAGAGTACCGATGATAATGACGTGAAAGTGCATCCACTATGCCATTCCGGAACAATTCCACACGTTGCATCTAGCTTGAGATACCGTGGGAGTAAATTATATCGTGTATCGTAAATTCTTAGTTCGAAAAATTCATTTTCTTTGCGACACCGTTACGAGTGTTGTTACCTTTATAATGTCTCAGGCACCTGTATGAGATTTTCCGTTATACGCTTCCGACACTTCGAACGATGTGTGTATTGTCGCTTATAATATCCGTAACATAGTAATGGGGTGCAAAGTCATAAGAAAATAGCGGGAAAAATGAAAAAATAAATAAATACAGATAAATAAATAAAAATATGTAAAAGATCTTAAAATAAGCATAAGGTAAAGAAATAGTGGAATAGTTCGAAGAAAAACACAAACGTAAAGACTGAGAAATAATTAAGTCTATAAATAAAAAATGGAAAAGAGAGAGGTGAAGAGAAACAGGATCAAGCACGACTCAAACTGGGTAATGCTATGTTTATATTATATATAGGAAAAAAATAGAGAAAATCAAA